TGTGTGTGYRYATATATATACACAGTGATTTTCCCTGAGGAGAATACCAAATGCACTGATAAGGTTCAATAGTTCTTAAGGTCAGATAGCTGTCCCCATCTTCAAGTTAGTCATGGGTGCTGCCAWTTAAGAATTGAGACCAGGGTATTATAAAAATGCCTCTTTATGCACAAATAACATGACTGCTTGTTTGGTTCAATTCTATGTGAAGTCCATCAGTCCAGTGGAGCAGGAAAACCCAATAAAATTCAGAGCAAGGCACCYTCAATTTCCCAGGCCAGCAAAGGTTTATAAACAAGGAGATGATGTAGCAGTCTTAGCGCAGAAAACAAGAAAGGAGAACCATGATTTGGGAGCAGCCAGCTTCACAGAGCTGGAACCCTTCTGCTGATCAGAAGCTGAGCCCTTGTCTATCTTGAGGGTCAGGCTCACAAATACAGCACTAATTGAATTTTGAGGTTTGTATGGAAAGCTTTTATTAGCTCTCCCCAGTGTAATTATAGAACATGGGTGCTTTGTTCTGCAGAGGGAACGGGCAGCTGCGCATGGGATGGCTTCCCACAGCCCCCGCCTGAGCAGCGTGACTGTCACTGGCTCCTTGCCAAAGACTAAAAATATCCCATGCTATTAAAGGGACAYACAAGGCTTCATAGCTCAGGAAACATCAAGCAACCACTCCCTAAGGACTTTCTGGATATGCCTCTCCCCCATCACCACTCCACCAGCAATGGCTGCCATAATCACCCAGAAGGAACCGTGAGAGGAGAAAACGAAAATTGGTTTTGCTCAGGTGACAAAAGGCCTATGCATTATCATCCTGGTGGGACCACTGAGGATTGTTCTTCCTCCAGACAAAGAACATTTCCTTCAGTGGGCCCCTTCTCAACCTCTGATTGCAGACATGATCCCTAACTCAAACACCAACTTTTGTTTCAGTTGCAGGATTTTTACAAAAATCCACATAGGCCTCTGCTCACCTCTATAGGAATACAGATGGTCTTCCCTGAAATTATCTTACCATAATTTTGTCTTCTAAAACCCACCGATGGATAGGAAATGATATTGTAATCATTAGCAGTGACATGGGTAGGGATGATGCTGAATTCTTCTTGGGCAGCTCAGCAGGGGAGTAAAGAGTGTGTTCTCTAGAGTCAGAATCCTCCSCATCACCTCTTGCTGTATGATTTTTAGCACTTTCATCATTTCTATTGTGGGCATAAGAACTKTATGTGTCCCACAGGAAGCTGTGTGGTCTAAAACATATTCATGTAAAATGCTTAGACTGGCAGCTGACACACCACAAAGGTTGGTAAATGCTCACAAATGCACACTAAGCATTCTTTGTACACTTCTTCATGGAATCCTCACACTGGATCCACAAATAAGCACTGTTTTTATTAACCCCATTTTACAGATGAGGAAGATGGGACTCAGAGAGATCAAACTGCCCAAGTTTACCCAGTTGCAAATCTGGGATTAGAACCCAGGCAAACAGACTCCACTGGTCCCTTTTTTGATTCAGGGAAGAAAGAGAATTTCTTCCTCATTTCAGCTACTTTGGGTGAACACATAGTAGAGAGAATTCAAAAGCAACACGCAGGCTTCCTAAGTCAAGTGTGAGGTGACCTTGATGTAGACACACATCCTAGGAAGTCAGCCAGGAGCTGACTCAGCCTTGTGCCTGGTTGGATCTCCAGGAAGAAAGCAAAGGGAGGAGCTTCCCCTGCTCAGGCTAGAGCTTTGAGGATCTGATCCTGCAGGAAGCCACAAAAAAGGATGTATCTCTAGACTGAGAACAGCCTCCCGTGCTGTGTACTGAGAACCTGCGTAGGAGACACGGGATGGCCTGGCTGCCTGGGCTTGTTCTCCCCAGGGAGAAGGAAAGGAAGTCAGGATAGACTTGAGGACAGCAAGCTCAGACCCTAATGGCAAACTCTGTCCCTGCTGGGGCTCCCATCAGCAGGCTCACCCCAGGCAGGACTGAGGGTGCAGCTTGATGATAGCKCCCCTTCTTTCACAGGATTGACATTTGAGCTTCTGTGTTAAACTAACATATCTCCTCTTGTAATGGGACATCCTTTGTCCTGCCAAAACTATAACCCAAAACATTCGCCTTGGTTCACTCCATTTCAGAATGTTTAGTCGTTCAGGATCTTTAGTTCACGTCAAAGGATTTTTTTCTACATTAACACCTGTGTTCAGGCAGCAGAGATTTAAAATCCACAATGTACAGTGTATTTGAATTTGACCCTTAAATTCTGCTTTAGGGGATGTCAAAGGAAACATTTGACAATAGGGAAAAGAAAAATAAACCAAATCGGCAAGTGAAGCTGCTGAGGCCAGAATTGAGGAAAGGGCAAAAATGCTCTAAAAGAGCAGGCTTTTTAAAATTGGCATTGGAATCATAAAGGCAAAACTGGTTACTTTGTTTTCTTTGTGTTTGACCCACATGGCCTTGTAAGTGTCTCCACCTTGAACTTTGCCTGATAAAGTACCAACATGTCCACAGTCCCAGAGATGGCTACGTTGGGAAATCCAGTGTCCCTGGAGATAAGCCCCAGCTGCCTCCTCTCCAAGATGCCTAAAGATCTCCAATCTACCTTTACTTCTATCTCATTATGTCTCCAGAAGGCATTGCATTGTCAAACATAGACATAAGCAGAACAGAAGCAGGTTAATTATGTTACATAAATTATAAATTGTAGAAGGACAAATACCACGTACCTTCAGAGTTTCTTGAGATTAGTGGTCAATACTTAGAGAATTCTATGGGGGTCTAGTGTTATCCATCATGAAGACTGACTCAGCTCACTGACATTAAACACCTAGACAGACCGTGGAGGAAAATTTGATCTTTTAATTAACTCAAGGTCCTTTTCTAGCCAGAGTGTCTACAAAGAGATGGAAGTTACCTTCCCAGAAATTCAATTGATTAGAGAGAAATCATTTGTGATCATCACATATTTGAGAGAAGTGGTTATTTGAGACAGTGACTGAAGTAGTTGAAACTAATATTTGCATATTTTAGGTTAGGTTATTTGAAAACAGAATCATGTAGTAGTTACTTCTAGTCTCAAGTTCGAGACAAACTTAAATTATTGCTGTAATTAGATTGCTCAACTTGAAATTCTTATGCCCAGTACTCTGTCTTGTCCCAAATCCTTGTTAGTCCTCATCAGTTATAATATCTTACCCCATTTTTACATTTAATAAAAAATCTCATTTCCCAACAGCATGAAACTAACCTTATCTTAGAACAATATTGAAGAAGTAAAGTCAGAAAACTGTACTGCTATACATTCTAATAACATACTTTTTTGTGTGCAAAATCCCAACTAGATAATTTCAGTGAAGAGTAGCCAAGGTCTCATGTTACTTAACTAGCTAAGTTACTGAGCATCTATTATGTGCCAGGTGCTAACTTATTGGTAGACCAACCCTATATCAGGGGCTCTTATTACCCCTGTTTTACATTAAAAAAAATTAAGTCTCAGGGCTGGGAATGTAGCTTAGTGGTAGAGCACTTGCCTGGTATGCTTGAGGCCTTGGGTTCAAATCCCAGCACTGCAAAAAAAATAATAATAATAATAAAATAATAACAATAAATAAATAAATAAATGAGAAACTGAGTATGAGATTAAAAATACAATATTCTTGATGCTGTTGCTGTTGTTATGAATGAGAAGGGAATCATGGATCCTTTGGGAAGATCTCCAACAGCTTGGAGATGAAGACCTCTGCAAGCTGAGGCTGACTAGGGTCCTCCTGTTGTTGCCTGGCTGCAAAGAAAGTCAGCATGCCCAGGACTTTTCATACCACTAATGCCAGCTGTAGCTCAGATTTTACCAGGACTGAATCAGAGAACCAAGGCACATGCCTACGGTTTGAGGAGATGGCCCTAACAACTTCAGGTGCTTCAGGTAACTCACCTCTTGAGGGCTCATGATCTTTGGGTCAAGTAGGGACTCTGGTTCAATTTACCTTTGACTTAAAAGTCATCAGTGAAGGTGGAGAGAGAATCTGAACCCAGAGGTAGCCTGTCTCACAATATATAAGGTCAGGGTGGGGGCACAAATTCCTCCAATGTGGCCTTCTCCGCTACAATCTTTCTCCCTCTCAGAACGCTGTGTGTCTTCCATTGCCTGCCTCTTCCAGAGGGTTCAGGGTACAAGAAAATGGTCAAGAGTTTTCCCAAGACCTTCCATCCCAAACAAAGGAAATATATAGATTGTACAAGAGTGCAATCACATACCTAGGGAAGGCATGAACTTTAAATTGCTGGGGGGTGGGGGGCAGGAGCTCAGGTTCTTCTGTTTAATGAGCTCTGAAGTATAAAATAAGCGAGTCAGAGTTTATGCTCTGCAGAGCCCTGCCATGATGGGTTCCATTCTCTCCCTCTGTAGGCAATGTTGGGACGAAACAATGGGGAGTCATCCAGGAAGAAAGATGAAGAGGAAGTTCAGAGCAGGCACCGGTTAATCCCCCTGGGCAGAAAAATCTATGAATTCTACAATGCACCCATTGTGAAGTTCTGGTTCTACACTGTAAGTATCTTTCCTTTCCTGCTTCCTRGTAGATGGCCACAGGAACCAAATTCACGTCTCAGGCACCTGAGTAGCTTTCTCTGAGTCATAGGTAGCACACATTGCAGGAAAGGAAGCTCTATGACCTTGCTTTTCCAATAGTTTTGCAAGATCTGTGGTGTTTGTTGGGCAGGTTCCACAGGCTAAATGTCTTCTCTTCAAAAAACTTAAGGAAATGATAAAAGTGAGAACCAATAGAAATAGAGGTGAGGTGAGTATGAATTCAATCTAGTAGAAAGTAGATGTCCGCTTTCAAAACACTTTCCTGTTCTGGATGGATGAAGACTAGGTCAGAGTTGCCTATTTTAGGTGCCAATCCTGGGTTTTTGTGCTTTTTGTTTGTTTCTTCGGGGGTGGGGGTTTACATTTAGTAAATAAGACTTAAGCACAGTGTGGAAGTGGTGTGACTAGGCATGGGTAGCATATGCACATAGCTACTCCCAATCTGGTATTGCCAGCAACCAAATTTTCTTGGTCAGATCCAATAAACAACAAACAAGCAAAAGAGGCAAAAACTATCAGAGCAACCAATAGTCATGGCAAAGATTATTCAGTATGTACACCCCACAAACCATGCCTACAAAACCTTGGGTTCTGAAGAGGCCTCCTGATATGGTAGAAAGGACTGAACTGCTGGTTTTCCACTTCTACTTCTCAATGATATTTTAAGGTGAGCTTGTGGCCCATGTCATCTCTGATTCTCCCCAGAGACAGTGGAACTGTGCAAAGACAAAGGAGAGTGCATCTGTATTTTTAGCTTTTTTGATAACCAGCTACAGAGCAATCCTTTGAGTCAGCAACAAGATAATCTAAATCTGAGGCTGAGATGACTCAAATGTCTAGATGAGGTGCTTTTTGTGTGGTCCTGTGTGCTAACTAGCACTGGCTGTATAGCAGAGACTTTCAACCTCAGCAATATCAGCATTTTGGGCAGGGTAAGTCTTTATCGTAAGGTGCTGTCTCTGACATGTAGCATGTTTAGCAGCATCCCTGGCCTCTACCTACCTGATGCTTATAGCACTTTTCCTCCAAGTATGACAATCAAAATATTTCTAGACATTGCCAAACATCCCCTATGGGATTAAAAAAAAAAGCTATCAGCTGAAAACCATTACTTTAAAGTATGGTCTCAAAGAGGATCCGAGATTATGAAAATATAAATATTACATTTATATTTAGTAAAGTAAAACTTCAAATGTATCAATGTTAAGAAAAGAGAATATGGAAGAATATAGCCTACTAAAAAGAAAAAAAAATTTCCACCCCCCTCAACAGAAGCATGCAAAAAATATTTCTATTTCTACATTTTATACAGATCTACATTATTTTTACTTGGCAGAAAACAGCATAGTGGTGACAAGCATGGACCTTGGAGTGAGACAGCCTGGGTGGGAATCCCATCTGTGCCTCTTTGTATTGTGTAATGTCAAACAAGTTACTTTCCTATTCTGTCCACACTTTCCTTAAGATGGGGATTTTATATATATCTTGTAAAGTTTAATGGAGATTAAGCATGTTGAAGTAGGTGACGTACTTAGAACGATGCCTGGACCTGAAAGAACATGTCAGTCAGCGTTGTATTCATCTATCCATCAGCACTAATAACAGTATCACTTGTTGAGCACTTACTATGTACCAGGCAATGTTTCCAGTGCTTTCTAAATACTCTCCCTAACCCATACAATTTTATCAAGATATTTTTGTACTATCATCTCATACACATATCTGTCCTTGCTCTTATATTATGCTTCATCAATTTTCACAACATAGAACAGGGCTTGGCAAGCTACAGCCCTTGGTCCAAATCCATCCCACTGCCTGTTGTTGGAGCCTGCAAGCTAACAATTGCTTCTACATCTTTATTTATTATATGGTGCTGGGAATGGAACCCAGAGCCTGGCACATGCTAGGCAACTGAGCTACACTCATGGCCCTGTTTTGTTTTGTTTTTGTTGTTGTTTTTTTAACATTTTTTAAAGGGTTGAAATAAAATTTTTGAACACATGAAAGTTATATGAAATTCAAATGTCAGTGTCCACAAAGATTTATTGTAACACAAGCAAAGTCATTTATTTACCTTTATAGCCTAGCTGCTCTTGTGCTATAATGATAAAGTTGATTACTGGTGATAGAAGCCTCTTGACTTGTAAAGCCATAACAATTAACTATTGGACTCTATAGAAACAACTTGCAGACTCCTGATCTAGAACACAAAAGAAATCGGTAGAAGTAATTGTGTCAAGAATTTTCTATCACTTATATGAATGTTCATCACTCTTACCTTCCAAGGCATCTTTTTTCTCTTTCTTGATCTGCATTCAGTTTTATAGTCACTTTAGTTTGTGCTCCCCCTAGTCCCCACTGACTCATGTCAGGCAGTTGTTAGCCAAGATTGCTTTTAAATTACGACCACCCTGGCGGGTAGTTCTACCTCGGCCTCACATTCGAATCACCTGGAGAGCTTTTAAAACACACTGGCCCCTGGGCTCTACTCCCAGAGCTTTGACGCCATTGGTGTGAGATACAGCCTGGGTCCTGGGATATTGCAGAGCTCCCAAGTGATTGTCATGGTCAGTAGGGACTGAGAATCACTGGCCCAGACGAAGAACGGTTAGTTTTTAGCCCATATTTCTAGAAGATCCATGATGAGAACAGATCTTGTTAGAAACGCCAACTCCTCACTCCATCATAGACTCACTAAATCAACCTGAGAGGCTGTGTTTAGTGAATGTCACAGGAAGCTCAGGACCCACTGTTTGGCCTAAATCCTTTGCAGCATGCAGGATGATAACTCTCTGAGGGGTGGAGCCTGAGCATCCAGCTCTTCTTACATGGCTGATGGGGTTTGCCTCAGCAATCCCATCACACTGGATCCCCCAGTTGTTTCCAGTTGTGTTTATACAATTGCCAGGAATCTATGTCCACATGTTGACAAAGTCCAGTCCTCAAGGAAGTGGACAGAGAGAGGTGTGTCAGTGTTTTAATTCCCCAGGGATGCTTAACAATAAAACTCAGCTTTAGATTAAAGGTCTCTTTGGCTTTGGGTTGGGTTCTCTGTAAAAGTATTTCTCACTATGATTTCAAAATCTCCCCTTCCTACTCTCCCAAGGGAAGAGAGGACGCATCTCACTTCCCCACAATCCCACTTGATCTCAGTTTCCCGAGAGCAGCTTGGGTCCTCTTCTAGTCCAAGATGAAGGGAGGCAGGGACCCATCTGGCTCCCAGACCCTGTCTGGGTTGAGAGCCCATTTGAAGTATCCAGCTAGAGAGGATTCAAATCCAAGGTGTGTAGTGGCCACAGATCAGGGGACATGATAGGCACCCAGGGCTATCATGGAGGGCTCTTTCCTGGAGAGCAGGCAGGTTAGGTTTTAGACAAGATGAAGAACATGAGCTGGGATTTTAATCCACGTCTCGGTGACTTTACTGCCCACCTTCCTTATACCAGACACACTAACCCTATTTTCAGAGGACATACAGGACTAGTGAAGTCATTCAAGTATTAAGCTGCAGACATTTGGGTAGAATTGGGCACATTGCGTAACTGGACCTACAAGTGTCAAGAGAAAATAATGCCTTAGCATGTTTTATACGAAATTGGGTAAAATGATGAAACCAGGACAGTTAACAAAATTCATTTCACTGAGAATCAATAAAACTTGATTCAATAAAGAGAAGGAAGCAACCAGGAAGAGAGAGTGATTTCAAGTCAGAAGGCACCAAAAGTGTATTATAGAATTTTAACCACTGAATTCCTTTCTTTGCATTGTGTAAAATACATACTCACAGAAACTGTGGAGTGAATGCCAATGTGTTATGATGGTAAATCAAAATCATGCAAACCAAGTCAGACTGTGAACTAATTTTTTTTTCAGTGCTGGGGATTGAGCCCAGGGCCTCTCATATGCTAGACAAGCACTCTATCACTAAGTCATACCTCATCCCTTGAACTAATACAGCATCCTACATGATTTAAAAAAAAAAAAAACTCTTTCCTGAGAAATTTTTATAATTTGTTAATGTTCCTGAAGGTGTCAAGGTGTAGGGATCTAGGCATGAATAAAGATGACAGTCCCAGGGTGGGAGAGGAAAAGCAAATCACTTGGATGGAAAGTAAACTCAGAGGACACTCGACATCTGTGTAACTGACTGTCTGTGGTGATGACATTGCTTTTATTCATGATATTGTTTAACTCTGACATATTTTCTCCTTTAAGGTATGGAAGGGAGGGGTAGGGTGGGGTGGGGGCTGGCATGTATCTCAATGGTAGAGCACTTGCCTAGTATGCTCAAGGGCCTGGGTTCAATTCCCAGCAACACACACACACACACAAAGAGGTGAGGAAATTATATGCCAGTTTTGTCTGCAAATATATTGTCAATCTAATAGGATATCAGAAACCCTTGATTCATATTAAGAATCTATTCACTTACCAAAATGAGAGAGAGAGAGAGAGAGAGAGAGAGAGAGAGAGAGAAGGAAGAAAGGAAAAGGTCCTTTCAGTAGATAAGGCAGCATCGCATCTCTCCTGTTCCCCAGTATCTCTCCCAACCAGGCTGCAGCTTCCCCTACCTTCCAGGCTCCCTCCAAGTCCCAAAGTCACACACTATCTCCAGAACTCTGGAGGCTGCAATCCTCTTGCCTACACAGTGTGTTATTCTTTGCTATAAGGTGGCCTTGGAAGAGTGCAGGTGATGTGGATTAACTAGCTTTGAGTTTCAACTCACAGCCCCTGAGGCCAGTAGTGCCTTGCCTGAATAAGGTTTTGCTTCTGTGCCATTTCCCTTAGGGTGAATTTTCTCCTGCAAGGCCCCCACCAGCTCTCTGCCACTCCATGCACCTTGACATGGCTGAATCCTCTAGTGACAGGCACCAGCTTGAACCCTGAGGAGTTTTTCCTGATATCCATCAATCGAGCCAGTCACATCAGAATCCCCCCTCAAGGTGTGAGAGCCTGAGGATGAAATCTCTCTCTAGTCGCTGTGGGCTGCACAGACCCATGCCTTTCTGTGCGTTGTCTTCTCTCACATTGTTTCAAAGAAGTAGATACCAAAAGTGAATATTCCAGCTGGGCACAGTGGTACATGCCTGCAGTTCCAGCACCTTGGAGCCTAAAGCAGGAGGATCACTTGAACCCAGGAGTTCAAGACTAACCTAAGCAACATAGCAAGACCCTGTCCCAAAAACAAACAAACTAAAATATTCCAACTGGGCTCGGGCAGGGAGGTAGTACAATGGAAAACAGGAAAAACCTTCCCAGGTCACTGACAAGCCAAACACTTTAAAGTATGAGAAAAAAAAGGAAAACACTCACTTAGAAGAAAATTGAAATAGAGTCTTAAGGTAAAGTCTGGGCTAGTTTCATGTTGGTTTGACCAATTTGCAGGAATTAGGTGTGCCTCCCTTTCCTTCTCATGGGCATTATTTAATTGTCTAATGTTAGGCAAAAATCCACTGTGCAGCAATAGTTCAGGAATCTCAAATCTGAGCCTGAGCAAGAGCCATCCTCCCAAAGTTCCCTGTTTTGCTAGGAAGACATAAGAAATCAGGTCATTGCAAAACAAAATGATACGTGGTGACATATACTACCAATACTGTGTGCCCAGAGACACACAGAGGGTCAGAAGGAAGACTCATATTAAGTTATTTCAAATGCTACAGTCTTTTTTAAAAAGTTCTTTTGCTAATTTAAAGCCTGTAATTTCATTTTGTCATGAATTCTCTGTCCTGTTTGCTGACCTTGTTCTGTCCTGCCATGCAGTGGCCTTGCCTGAGTCCAGGGCTCCTGGGCCTCAGCAGCCAGAGCACTATATTATATTTCCTTACAGCTGGCATATATCGGATACCTGATGCTCTTCAACTATATCGTGTTAGTGAAGATGGAGCGCTGGCCTTCAACCCAGGAATGGATCGTCATTTCCTATATTTTTACCCTGGGAATAGAAAAGATGAGAGAGGTAACTGCTTTCATAAAAGAAAACATAAGAGCAGGAGAGTGTTTATATTTGTGGATGGAGGGGAGAAGGGGATGTTTGGGATCCAAATTAAGCCAGAATCTATCTTTTCTAATGCCTTGAAGGCTGTTTCCTGCCACCTTTGACGAATCTGGGGAGGCTTCCCTGGCTGATGTTCACAGGGTTGTCACTCCATGACCGCTTTGGATATGGTCTATTTTCTGCTCACAAACCTTTTGTCCCAAGGAATCCTCCAGTTGTCTTCCACATCATTTACACCTCTCTTTACTTATCCCTATAAACATAACTTTTCATATTTGGCTATTTTTAATTCCCATTTCAATCTCTTACTTTGGGTCTCTTTGGACTCAGTCCACCAATACTCATGTCATTTCTGCAAACGTCTTTCAGCAGCTCTAGCAGGGGGTCTGCTCTCGTTCATTTATTTAATTTATTCTCTGGTTGACTCCTTATTAACATTTGTCATGAGCCTGCTGGGCACTAGCCTTTCCACCAGCCCTAGGGTTCAATCACTAAGGCCAACTGAACACGGTTTGGGTCCTTCAGGTTGAGGCTGTGGGGTTCCTCTTTTATCCCCTCATCCTTATGACCTAAAAGAGCTATTGAAATGCCACCCTTATATGATTTGTTTGAACTCAAGACAACCTCCCAGACAATGGATGCTACAAAAAAAAAAAAAAATGAGATGAGAAAACATGGAGGAAACTGAGATGCATGTTACTAAGTGGGGGAAAAAAAAGGCTACCTGCTTCCAAATACATGATATTCTGGAAAAGACAAAACAATGGAGCCAGTAAAAAACATCAGTGGTTGTCAGGGGTTACAAAGAAGGGGATAAATAAGTGAAGCACACAGGCTGTTAAGAACAGTGAAAATACTCTATATGATACTGTCGTGGTGGATGCATGTCAGTACACATTGGTCCAAACCCATAGAATGTACAACACCAAGAGCGAGCCCTAGTGGAAAGGCTAGACCCTGGGCCTTGTGATATGTTGCTCTCCATTCATCTGTGATAGCTCATGCTCTACTCTGGCACGGGGTGTTGATAGTAGAGGAAGCTCTGTGTGTGTAGGGGGTGTAGGGGTAGGAAGTCCATGAGAAATCTCTGTACCATGCTGCAGATTTTGCTGCTCTGAAAAATAATATACTTCATTAATAAATAAATAAATAAAGCTCTAGATTCCAAATGCTTCTTCCAAAATGAATGTGGTCAAGCAAAAGTCCACAAGAGGGCTCTGCAGCCCTGTTCAACAAACTCCTGTTTCACCAGAGGAAGCCACCGGGAAGGCAGACTTGTGAGGGGATACAGGCTCACCTGCACTTTCCCTGGAACTGCCGGCCCGGGAGGGGTGTGTTCTGGAGGCAATGCTCCTGTCACATCCACTGCACCTCCAAGAGCTCAGGAACAATCCTGGTTGCTGTACTTCAGGGGATGGATGGACCTCATTGGAAAAAAGGATTCCTACAATCCACAGACCCACCCTGACTTTTCTCACCAAAACAGGTTCAAAAGGACTTGCCTTCTTGAATTCCAGCTCAAGAATGTTCTCCTCCAGAGAAAACATGCAGTGTCTATTAGATGCATTTGTATTGCAATGATAAAAAGGTTTTTCTCCGTATTCAGAGGCTTTCTCTTGGGTTTTTAAGCTGGGAGATATTTTAATTCTAACTAAAATGTCCCCATCCCAAGAACTTAGGACAAGGTATATTAGTCCTTTTTTAAATATGACTGGATTAAATTAAAAACAAACAAAAGCCATGTTCCAGCCGGTTGTCCACACTGAAGTCCCCCAGTTCAGAGAGCCTTCTGCTTCTGACGGAGGTTGTGGATTTCCCATTTCAACTAAGAGCAGCAGTAAGTTTGCTCTGGTCTCTATGTGGATCTGAGAACTGGGCTGCCACTTTGGGGGGACCCAGTGGCTGTGCAGTGCCAGCTGGCGCTCTTGCAACTTAACGTTTATTCCTTCCCCACAACAAGCAGAAGAGGGAGAGACTGGAGCTTGGAGATCGGAGTCTCTCCAGGGACTAGGCTGGAAGAAGACAGGGAGCAGCAGACTGTTCTGGTGGAGACTGCCAAGCCGGCCAGCTGCCAGGACCTTCCGGGCCTGGCTCTCCATTTCTCCCCAGGCAGCGTGTCATGGCAGGAGGGCAGGGCTTCCCAGCTAGGGTCAGGAGGGGGTCAGAGGAAGAGTCTTGGCTCCTGAGGAAGCTGTGGGGAGCCAGGCAGTGACTGTCTTAGTGTCTGACCTTTCTCTCTGTGGCCTGGTGAAGTTGCCCCTCATCCTGTGTCCCTGCCCTGAACTCCAACAAGACATTGTCCACTACCAGGGGGAAGAAGACCCCCCACTAGACACCCGCCTGAGGAGCTCAGACGCAAGATCCTGGAAACATGGAAAAGTTTGCACTTCCGTGCCTCCCAAGGGATAAACAAGGACAGCTCTGTGGTTTCACATGCTGCCCTCCCATTCCCAGCACCACATACTTCTGCCAGTAGTCACCAGGCAAGCCATGGTAATCCCTTAACAGAGTGGCACTGTTTACAGCATGGCTTTGTAGACGTTATCTCATTCTGGTCCTCCTCCCCCCAACTCTGTGAGGTCAATGGCACAGTTATGATGACATCCACACTTTACACGTCTGGGAACCAAGGCTCAGGGTCGTAAGCAATTTAAAAAAAAAAAAAATCCACAGCTGGAAAAGAGGGATAGGACTGAAAACTGTCACACCATCTCAAGACTCCTTCCTCTGCAGGGTCCCAGGATGCTAAGGAAGGTCCCTGGGATTGGGGGGAGATTCCTGACTCTTGACCCTTGATCTTTTACTTCTGATTCACCCCAAGCTATTTTGCTTTTATCTCTTAATGTTGTGGGACACCACAAAAAAAATATTTTCACTATTTAAAAATTTTACTATATAACTCTGTATTTAGCAGTTTGAACAAAAGGTTAGAAAAGTTCCATCCTCCCTCCCTCTTCCTCTTCTTCACACACACACACACACACACACACACACAGATCTTCCGGCTGAGATGGGGCCAAGAGTGAGAAACAACCAGGACAATGGCCACACTCCTGATGGGTACAACAGTGGCTCTCAGAGACATGTTAGAAAGGTAGATCCTCTGGCCCACCCCAGGCCTGCTGCAGCAGGAACTTGAAGGTGGGGCCAGCCATCTGTGTTTTAACCAGCCTTGTATATGATTTTGATGCACACTGAAATTCAAGAAACCCTGGGCTAGAGGTCAGAGGAGAAACACTGTAGAGGATAAAGAACAAGGCTACCAAGTGATTCTTGGTATCTTGCTCAGCCTTCCAAACCCAAGCCTTGATTTACTAAACTTCCCCTTCTTAGTATTTCAGACCAGGGTAAACCATTATAGTGGATATGAGGATTCAAGCAAATAACAGCTGATTATTTGAAATAATCAATAATAATCAGAGAAATGACTGTTCCCAGTCTTTTTTCTCCTCTTCTTTGAGAGATCCTGAGTGAGAGAAAGGGTCGGTCATGGTGAAGAATTGGAAACCTCAGTAGGAAACATAAGAGAATCATGAGATTGGCATTTCCTAGAGCCCACGTGTGGCAGTCTCTCTTGGCTTAAAGTAAATCGAGAGTTCCACCCCGCAATTCAAATGTGTAAAAGACAGGAGAATTGCTGCCAGGTACCAATGCAACGGCTGTTGACAAATATTTATTGAGTGTCTATTATGTAACAGGCCTGGAATACAAAGGCTCTGCTCCCAGAGTTCACAATCTAGTGAAGAGAGAAGGAAGGAAGGAAGGAAGGAAGGAAGGAAGGAAGGAAGGAAGGAAGGAAGGAAGGGAGGGAGGGAGGGAGGGAGGGAGGGAGAAAGGAAGGAAGGAAGGAGGGAAGGAAGGGCATACAGATATTCATATGAACATACATATACATGTACAGAGAAGATAATTTTATAGTGAGAAAGACTTCAAAAATTCAATAGGACAATATATTAGAGAATGACTTGGAGACATGGAAGCTACTGCAGCTAAAATGGTCAAAAAATAAAAGCCTTTCTAAGAAGAGGACATCAAGGAGAGACACTGAGGATGAAGAAGAGCCAAACATGTAACATTCTGGGTGAAGAAATGCCCAACAGAAGGAATAAGCACAAATGTCCTGAACATGGGATGGAATTTCTATGCTTAAGAGCAGGCCAATGTGGCTGCAGGGTAGAAAGGAAGGGAGCATGTGACAGGACATGAAATGAGGCCACAATAAGGGGTTTGGGATTTTCTCTAATGTAATGGAAGCCATCAAAAATTTTAAGTATGCATCTATCATAATTTGCTTTAGTTTCTGTTGTTGTTCATTTGTTTCTCAAGTCTCTCCTTTTTAAAAAATGAGGACTAATTAACCCATAACAAATACTAAAGATGCAGCTTGATGAGTTTTTTGCCTACATAAACAATCCATCCTGTAATCACCATTCAGATCACGGCTTAGGTTTTTGAAGATCAGAGAATGGATTCCAGTCTGGTAGGCAATAATGACAACAGGGATGCCAGTTAGAAGCTTGCCACAATCATGTGTGAGAGGTAATGGGACTTTGATGTAATGGGAAATGGAGGTAGTGAGAAGTGGATGGTCAGGTTGTGCTTAGTGACAGGACTGGTTGATTGGAGGGAGGAGTTAAGGAGTGTTCCTGAGGGAGTGGCCTGAGTAATTCAATATGGCAGAGCTGTTTACTAAAGTGGAGGAAGATTTTGCAGAAGATTTGTAGTTTACTAAGAATAACAATGTTATAGCAAAACCCCAAAGGATAAAACTTACTGCTTATATCTGCTTCTGGACCATTTGCATTTGGATCACCTAAGCTTAGCCAAGTTGTATATTGCTAGCATGCAAGCATTTGAGTAGACACAGATGGGGGTGGGGAAGCTACTGACGTTAGCTAACAGACCAAGCACGTTCCAACTGGGCTTGAAATATAGACACAAACCACACTTAACTCCATTCTCTCTCACTCTCTCTCTTGCCTTGTAGATTCTGATGTCAGAGCCAGGCAAGTTGCTGCAGAAAGTGAAGGTGTGGCTGCAGGAGTACTGGAATGTCACAGACCTCATTGCCATCCTTCTGTTCTCTGTTGGAATGATCCTTCGTCTTCAAGACCAGCCCTTCAGGAGTGATGGGAGAGTTATCTATTGCGTGAACATCATTTATTGGTACATCCGTTTACTAGACATCTTCGGAGTGAACAAGTATCTGGGCCCATATGTGATGATGATTGGAAAAATGGTAAGCAGTGTCACATTCCACAACTAAACACTCAGGGTCACCCCAGGTGAACTGGGCTGGCATGCCATAATCACACAGAGACAGAGAAATACTTTTTGGGGGGGGTCCTGTGATAGCTCCTCTGACCTTAGGGGTCCGTGGAAAGAGAGAGAAGAGAGGAGCTGAACCTTTTATTGGGAAGAAGCCATTCAAATGAGGCAAGGAGTAGGATTACAAAGGAATAGGTGAGTGTAGCTCAGTCCCCTTGGGTGACCCCTGAACCTGAAGACGCACCTTGCTATCTGAGCTGGGACAACACCCAAGTCACCACGAAATGTAGTGATTGTTCAAAGCCTCGTGCTTCAGGACTAGAAGATGTGGTCATTCAGAGCAGCTCACCACAAAGGAGGGCTTTCTAATTTCATGTTTTAAGTTCTCAGAGGAAGAGTTATAATAATAGGAAGAGGACTATAATTTATTTGGACCTGCTCTCAAAGTCTGCAGGAGATAGCTCCAGGGATGTTTTACTTTATCCCCTCACCCGCCACCCCCCCCACCCCACTCGTACTGGGGATTGAACCCAGAAGTGGTCTACCACGAAGTTACATCCCCAACTCTTTTTATTTTTTTTTTTATTTTGAGACAGGGTCTTATTAACTTGCCTAGGCTGGCCTCAAACTTGTGATTCTCTTGCCTCAGCCTCCTGAGTCACTGGGATTACAGTCATGTACCACCAAGTTTGGCTGGGTGTTTTATTTTTTAAATTCCTGTTAAGTGTTGGCAAGTTTGACTATATCTGTATACAAAAATTGGGGAATTTAATTATCAGCCATTTGCAAACTACAGAATATACAAAGATGATCTATTTTGTGCCAGGTACCAGCCTAGGACTTGAATGTACAAAGAGATTCTTTCTATGAAATAAACATTGAGAGAAAGAAAGTAATTAATACACAGTGTGAGGATGTTGTAATAGATGTGTATAAAGTACAAAAAGAATATAGGTCAGAAAAGCATTCACATGAAAGTCATGTCGTAGCTGAGTCACAAATTTTTAACAGATTTTTAAAGATTTTTTTAAAGATGCGTTTTAAAAAAGAAGTTATAGAAAGATTCATTTCGCTACATAAATGGAAGAAAAACAGTGTGCGTTTGAGTTGAGTTCAGTTGAGTTCAGTTGAGTTTGAATTTTGAATTGAAGATCATACATTGTGTGTATTCTTACACTGTTAGGAAATAATGTCAGTTTAAAAAAAAAAAAAAAAAAACAGGCACTCTGGCACACATCTATAGTCCCAGTGGTTCAGGAAGCTGAGGCAGCAGGATCGAGAGTTCAAAGCCAGCCTCAGCAAGAGCGAGGTGCTAAGTAACTCAGTAAGACCCTGTCTCTAAATAAAATGCAAAATAGGGCTGGGGATGTGGCACAGTGGTTGAGTGCCCCTGAATCAATTCCCAGAACTGGGGGGGGGGGGGGGGAGCTCCAAAATGCTGCGCTACTTATCTAAATCTTTAACATAGAATCCCAAGCAGAACAAACTAATATGCTTCCTCATAAATGGCCAAGGACTTTGTCCCATACTTCTTAACCACACACCAGCTTTTAGTCCTTTTCCATAAAAACTGAGCCCTAGAGGACAGCATTGACAGAAATTAGGGAGTGCATGAGTAAATTGACTCCTTCCCCACACTCCCTAGACAAAGAGTCAGATCCTGAAGCCCAGACACTAGGCACTTTATTAGATCCCCCACTTCTTCTGTATATCCCCAGCTTCCCCTTTGTAGGACCTATTTGGAAAAGCTAAATACATCCATCTTACCTATGTGAACACCTCTTAATGAGAAACCTCTTTATTAATAATCTGCACTTTTATTGCATGAGATATTGAAACCAACAAGTGGTCAATAGAGGTCTGTTTCTTTTTCTTTCTTTTTCTGTATGTGAGAGAGGGGGTACTGGGGTTTCAACCCAGAAGGGGGTGCTTTATTACTGAGCTACATCCCCAGAACTTTTTACTTTTTATTTTGGGTCAAAGACTCACTAAATTGTCCAGGCTTGCCTCAAAATTGCCATCCTCTTGCCTCAGCTTCCTGAATTGCTAGGATTACAGGCGAGTGCTACATGCTACCATGTACTTTTTCAATAGATACCCTTCTTCAAAAACTCAAGTTTTAATATATATATAGTTTTACTATATACATCATTGCCAACTCAATATTTATCAAACATCTGGGTGTGTGACTACTAAAATGAATCTTACATACAAAATCTTTCTACAAAAATCACTTACAAACTCTTGCAAGAATTTGAATTCACAGTGAATTGAGTAGGAGACCTTAAGCAATGTACTTAACCTCTTTGAGATTCAGTTTACTCATTTCTCAAGTAGTAATGAATAATGAAAGTGCATCTTGTAGCTTTGTTGTGGATCATTAAAAGTATGTTAAGTGGTCATCCATGTCTGGCTCATGGTTTAGTGGTTGATAAATTGTATCTGCTATCATTATGTTTATACTGTGTTTTTAAAGTACAATGAAAAAAGGAAATATTAGTAAGCATGATTATTCTGCTATAAATTTAACCTTTTGATACAGAAGGTTGGTATTTGTAATATCAGCCATATTTAAAGCATGTTTTAGTCAGCTTTTTGCTGCTGTGACTAAAGAATCCAACTAGAACAATTGTAGAGGAGGAAAGGTTTATTGGAGGACTCATGATTTCAGAGGTCTCAGTCATAGAAGGGTGGTTCCACACCTGCCTCCAGTTAATCCCATCAGGGATTAATTCAAAGATTCTCCTCCAAACCCTCTTGCATTGTCTCACACATGAACTTTGGAGGGACACCACATCCAAACCATAACAGGGCACATATCACCAAACCATTCTAGAGAGGAAAAATTTGAATTCTCAAACTGAAGTTACTTACTCAAAACTGAACCCCAACTCAATTGAGTATTTTTTGGCTAGGAAAAAATATGTATATTACTCTGTTATTCCACCTGGTATATTGTCTTTTTTGTACTCTAATGATGAATTTGAGATTCTGGTGAGAATATCTGTCTAAGGACAGATTCTATAGTTGGGGCTTAGGAGAGCAGTCTATGGATCCTTCCCCCGATTTATATATGAGTAGTAGGTGAATTTTCTTGACAAACTTTTATGAAATTCTCAAATGAATTGTTCCTTGGCCCAATGAGAGTGAAGAACTCTAACAGCTATAAAAGACTAAGCTTTCTCCACCTTGACGCTCTTGATATTCTGGGGTAGGTAATTCTTTGTTTGAGGCACCATCCTATATATTACAGGTTGTTCAACGCTGTGGCCTCTGACAAAACTGTCTCCAAACATTGCTGAGTGTCTCCTGAGGGACAAAATTACCCTCTGCTGAGAACTGCAGCACTAGGGGCCGGAGTATTTAGTCTGTTTGGTTTTCTGATGGTCACCTTATTTTAACAATTAAAATCTGTAAAAACCCAAACTGACCAAATATAATTCTTTTAAGAGTCTAGGTGGCGTTTAAACACTTGAAATAACTGAAGTTACACTAATGCAGCAAGATTGTTAAAATCCACATCTGTCATTTTAATAATGGCATAATTATCCCCAGTTTTGACTAGAATGAAATCTTACTAAGGATTGAGCAAGAGGAATGTACTGCGTTTTCTCTACCTCCTAACTTATGAATGACTTCATTTGTCAGTCAAGAATAGGTAGAAAATGAGAATATTTGAGGACTTTGCTTCTCTTCTATGGAAATTTTAAGATAATTAGTTCGATAATTGAGTCATTGATCCAGAAGGTAGATAAAATACGTCTGTAGAATTTATGAGGGAGCCAGATGGGCTGCCAGGCTGGAAGTGGAACAAAATATTCCCAGATGTGTTTACACAGAAAGCCCCTCAACATTAGAGAGACTCTTTTCAGTATTGAACAGTCAGGTACTCACTGTGCCCTGAAGTCTAGAGACAGACATCACTGGGATGCCTGGACCCAGGAGGACTATTTTGAAATTGGTTCTGTGTCCCTTTGCATTGCAGAAGAATCCAGTGTTCCAAGTGCTAACATGGAAACCCACATCTCCAGTAAAATCCCATTTGATCTGCAGGTTCAGGATTGCTTGAAATCCTAACCCCTTGCCTTCATAATCCACTTATCAAGGCAATTCTCTAATCCAAGTCTCAGCTCACTTATATAATGCAGAACAAAAAGAGCATTAGCAGCTACCCTTTACTATGTGCCAGATACATGAGACATGTCTTCATCATTACACGCCCTGAAATAGGTCTTAGTATCCTCATTTAGTAATACAATAAACTGAGATTTAGCAAAGACAGTGGCAGGATTTTAGCTCCTGATCCCTACACCTGACCTCCTTCCACCTCTAATAATAATCCATTAATAGCAACTGAGAACTCACCATATTAAGTGTTCACATGTTATCACATTTAATTCTTATAACAATAAGTTGCATTTTTGATGTTATTACTGTCCCTATTTTAAAAATTAAAAAAAATAAGATTAAGCAACTCGCCCCAGGCCACTTAGCAATCCTTTTTGTTTTTCTTTTCTTCTTCTTTTCCATTTTTTTTAAATGGTCAGGAAAATGTTCAGAAATCTTTTATTTTCTTTTCCTGGAGTCATCTTTAACTTTTTTGTTGTATTTTTTTCCACTTAGCTTTTTTTTTTTTTACTAGTAAAGCCAAGGTGAAAACCCAGGTTGTCTGTCACCTGAGAAAATGTGCAGAATCACTAGAGTACATACCCTCCTGTGTTGAGCACGCTGAAAGGTATTTCTAAAAATAGTGCAAAATCTTAACATTGAAGTGAGTGAATGATTTAGCTTTACAAACACAAGGAGTCATCCCCTGTTCTCATTAATAGTGCTCAGATTTTGATATTTGTATGGAAGTAAAGACTTTCAACTATACAAAGCTAAGCAGTTGAGAAGAATGTGTCTTCTTTTTGGTTACTTTGACCCTCTGGAGAGATATTAGAATCAATCTGAGTGAAAACAATGGTGAGAAATTAAATTAGTATGGTTTCTGTATTTACTGGCTGAATTTTCTTGGGTCAAACAAGTTTCTAAATCTCATGAGTGCATACCGGCCTCTCCCACCCATCTTTTAATTAATGTAAATAAACATAATACAAAGGACTCATGTGTGCTTTTTTATTGATAGAACTTCTTGTAAATAAGTGATGAAAGAATTTCACAAAATAGAGACAGTAGATGAAAAACAGATCCAGATTTCCTATAAAATGATTTCAACACAGCCAGCTTGCTCACACAGAGAGTCCTGAGACCATTAAACTGTGGAAGGAATAACTAACTAGCATGTATCTATGAGGATAATGAAAAATAAAAATGGATGTCAAATTTGGAGGGATTTGTGGGCTGGGGTTATGGCTCAGTGGTAGAGCACTCGCCTCACACGTGCGAGACCCTGGGTTCGACCCTCAGCACCATATAAAAATAACTAAGTGAAATAAAGGTATTGTGTCTAACTACAACTGAAAAGTAAATATTTTTTTTAAAAAATGGAGGGATTTGTATTTTGTTTCAAAGTGGGAAATGGCTTTTGAAGTTGCCTTGGAAGTTGATTAATTGATATAAAATATATTAAGACCCCAATGTCCTAAGGCATACAGGAATGTTTGAGTTTCAGCAACACGTATCAAAGAATATACTCTTTCAAAACAAAAGTTTTTAAATTCATCTAGGGAGCAGAGAGTATAGCTCAATGGTAGAGCATTTGCCTAGCATGCATTAGGCCCTGGGTTCAATCCTCAGAACCAAAAGGAAAAAAAAAAAAAAAAAAAAAGGATTGATTGGCTTCTCTGTGTAGGACCCACTTCCCATCTCCCATCACCATTGCCAGGGAGTGAAGTGTCTCCTGGGAAACAAAAGGGTAGAAACTTTTCTAAAAGAAGGAAGTAATGAGTTCTGGCCTGGCAAAATCAATAGTCATTGCATCCTCATCTATTTTGGGTAATAAAAGGAAAGCAATTTGGCATTTGAGAAGCAGATCCCAAATAACATATATCACAGTAATAAATAAGGAAGGAAGAGGAATAAGAGACAACGTTGTACTAAAATTCAGTAAGAGGATTTTATCAACATATCAAAGAGAAAATGCCTCAGTGCAGCAGTAGGTACAGGTGCAGGTCATTAGGCCACCTGGTTCTAACGCTAGGAAAACAACATCCATAACTAGTAAGATTCCTGCAGGAGGAGTATAGGAAGACTGGTTCTCTGAGAGACTGGTTTGTGCTAGGCAAACAATGGAATGTGGTCACAAGAAGGTGATAGAACTGGCTTTATTTGCAAGAAAATATTTTCTTGAGCTTTCCAATTCTTTGTCAGCCTTTCAAAACTGAGAAAGGGAATTTACTACATTGTACAAGTTCTTGAAATAGTTCGACTATCTCAATTCCAGTTCTGCCAAGAAGAGCCCCAAAGAGACTATCCCATCCCCACCACCAACACCAACCCCCAAAAGCAGAGAAAGAGTTCGTGTGGATGCCACATCCTTTGTGATGTGACTATGACTTCCTTGCCTAGACTAGACTATGTCCCAGAGAAAGAAATGAAAAGCAAAGGGACTTCATTTGGTGTGTACTTTTAAAAAAAAATGTTTTTTGAGTTACTGATAAAATTCTGTAAGTGCTCAGTTGGTAGAGTCCTTGCTTTGCATGCATAAGGCCCTGGGTTCCATCCCCAGCATCACCCCCCCCCAAAAAAAAAAAGAGAGAGAGAGAGATTCTGTGGACATGGGACTCAATAGGCCAGCTGTCCTCCTATATGGACAGAATTCCCTATCAAAACATCTCTTATCAGCAGTCTAGAAAGTGACTTTCCTTCACAGATGTTCCTCAACATCAGCATTCACAAAAGCATTCAATCACATGGGTTTTCTTGTGTTTTTCCCTCTGCTTCTCCACTCTTCCAGATGATAGACATGATGTACTTTGTCATCATTATGCTGGTGGTACTGATGAGCTTTGGAGTCGCCAGGCAAGCCATCCTCTTTCCCAATGAGGAGCCATCATGGAAACTGGCCAAGAACATCTTCTACATGCCCTACTGGATGATTTATGGGGAAGTGTTTGCGGACCAGATAGACCGTAAGCAAGTTTATGATTCTCATACACCAAAGTCAGGTATTTAACTTCAATTGAGTTGTGTCTCTTCCAAGTTCATCTGTTTGTTCTCAATAAATGGCTCAAGATAGAGGACCGATTCCTAGATTGTTATCCTGGTGGAAAAAAAAATTACAGAAGGTGAATATACAATTTTAGCAAAGTAGTCCTTAGGTGTATTTTCAGGTATGTTTTTCTGTCTCACAAATTGACATCTGGTATATTAAATTGGATCCAAAAATGAATCATTTAAAAAGATCTAAATTTTTGTTTTTATGATTCAAAATCCTAGGGCCGTGTGTTGGATGTTTTGGTATGAATATATTATGTCACAACTCCCCACTCCTAACCTAACACTTAACCCTCAGTCTTTAAAAAAATAAAGTCCTTGAGTTTGACTTCAGACCAAATAAACAATTCTCAATTTTGTCATCAGAATTCAAGGGTAAGGGCAAACATCTGTATGGTGTTTCCCTTGCACTGGAAAATATTCTCCAATTCCCTTTCCCACTGTCTTAAATTATGTGCTTTTGAGACTCATAGGAAGTTAGTATTCATTGCCTGGAAGTATGGGAAATGCCTTAGGTCATAAGCTGAGTTGCTTACTATAAATGCCAGAAAAATAAATAGTATCAGTATCATGAAGTGATTCAGTGTGAGGACCAAGCACAATCAGGCCCCCAATGTTTCTCCATAGTAAACACTCCTTTTGTATGGAGTTTGAAGATAGTTGTAGCCTAGGAGTCTGTTCCAGGATTTTATTTGGACCAAATGTCAGGGCGCACCAGGCACTGGGAAATTACTGGGGAAGAAAGCATCAGGAAAGAGAAAATCTTTTAGTTCAGTGGAGTTGAATCCTAGAAGCCGCTATCTCTCATTTTCCCTGAGGAGTTTAGCTCTGGAAATAACATCCCTCCAACACTGTCAAATTAACATTTTTTAGACAGTTTTTGCTGACAGGCCAACCATCTGAGCCCAGACTGTGGACACGGATTAGGGTTACATAACCAGGTAGGATAGCTTATTAGAAGCAGGAGCAGAGATTAGTCAGCATCCCAGTCCCCTTGCCCATCTCAGGTCCGGCCAAACCAGCAACACACAGACAAAGCACTCAGGAGTGAATCCTCCAGTCCTGGGAAGAGCATGTATACACTGGCAACAGAACACACCAGCACATCATTTTCCCCCTCATGATGGATTTTGAACAAATACCCTTTCCCTCTCCAAATGCATTATCAGAGGCAGATGAGGCTTTTTGGAACACCTAGATGGAACAAATATTTGTGTACTTAGCCAACTTAGCCAACTCACTGAGAAAGAATCTTAACTCCATCCCCCAGTTATAATTGGTTGACAATGTCCAGGCTTCTGCCAGGGCACCTTCCCAGCGAGTGGAGACAATCCTTGAGAGCCTCCTTTTCAACGTTCCCTAGAGGAAAACTCTTAAAAGCCGACCTGTAATCATCATCCTTGGAGATTAAGTATGTTTCCCCCCCCCCTAGAAATCGCTTTTCCACTTAGTTATGCTATTTTACCCTTTCTAGTTGTCATTTCTTCCCCAAAATGAGATGAAGCTCCCATGGGTTTGTTTGACAATGAAGGATGGGAGAACAGGGAGGTGTAGATATATTTTATAAATGGGATTCTGTCTGTCCCTCTACAAGTGGCCATTTATTGATGTTGTACTATGAACCCAGCCTAGTGCAACAAACACCACCATCTGGCTGAATAAGAGGATTTTTTTATTGCTATTTTAAAAGAAGGGCTGATTGTAGTTTAGAACTTAAAAACCCCAGTCCCCCGGAGATGGAAGAGAGGTGTTTTGTGTGAATGAAGTCTGAAAATAGATTCCCCACACTGTGAATTAGCTCTGTGGTGCTCTACGTGTGTGAGAATAAATTTCTACCCCAAATCCCCATCTGTAACTGACCCAGCCTTGGATGGACGCAACCTTGGTAATGCCCTTCCCCCTACCACTTACCTCCCTTTGTGACATTCTGAAATTGGCTACAGCAGTAGCCACTGTTCTAAGCTAAATCAGCCAGTTTTCTGTCTAGAGTGCTAATGTATATTCGTCCTTTCTCAAATGGATACAGAAGGCTGCCCCCAAATCTGTCACTCTGTTTGGCCAAAGTCACTGAACATCCGTGTCCTCTAAAATGATTTGCTATTCATGCCTTGGCACCAGGTGGGCTCAATGAGGACTGCATGACTACCCCACTTGGTTGTTCAGAATCGCCCAAGAGACCCATGTACTAAGCTGTTTGAGAAAGGTACAGATCATTTCTGCTGCCCTACAGTGTCTGCCTCTTCTCTGTGCCGTGTGCAGGTTGGTGTGTGAAGCATGTATTCAGGCTGATCGGATCTCATGTCCGCCTGGACCCACAGCCCTGTGCAGGGTCTGCCAATCCCATCCTGTGGATGTGCCCTGTGTGGGCCTCTCCAAGTGCTGCTCATTCAAACACACCTCAGGCAACTCATTCCGAACATGATGCACGTGCTCCATATCTAAATCTTGTTGGTTTTTGACTTCAAAATTGCTGAACCCATTTCATGTTTGGGAAATGGTCTTTCTTTATTGGGTGGATATATGGGGATGTGCAATGGGATCCTTGGGATGGGTAATTAATATCAATTATATGCCTCACTATGGAGGACAGCTTAAATGTTCCTCACTTCTAGGAGGCAATATTACCTAAGTGAGAATTTTTTTATATGCATTTAATCTTTTTTCTTATCATTTGCCCTAAACACAGAACTACCAATAATGCCAAAGATACTAGAATTAGATTTGAAAGGTTACTTTCCAAATGTGCTTAAAAACTAAAATCAAAAGAAAAAATGGAGTCACATAAAATCACTAAATAGCTTAAGGTATTTTTCACCTCTGACAAATGATAGCCCAGGCTTAATCTAAGTTATCCGTGGAAGTTAAAACTTTTTCTTTGGTGTGGAAAGCAGAGAGGAGTGGAAGAACATGGCTGGAAGAAGATAATGAATCTGAGGAAGGGACTGTGATGGTTTACTTTACCCTGGAAACTATGCCTAACACTCTGATTTAACTCACAGGGTTTTGTCAGGCATGGTAGTGCACACACCTGTAATCCCAGCAACTCATGAGGCTGAGGCAGGAGGATTGCAGGTTCAAGACCATCCTGAGAAACTTAGTGAGACCCTGTCTTAAAATAAAATTAAAAGGACTGGGGATGTAGCTCAGTGGTAATGTGCTCCAGAACCACAACGATCATAATAATAATCACAATAACTCACAGGAATTGAACATGCTACTGTTTAGTTGGTTAGTATTTGGTTTTTATTTTGTTTTGTTTTGTTTTGCTTTGTTTTGTTTTAAATAGCCCCAAATTGTCTTCAGGTACTTGTGTTATACATAATACTAGCTCTCTAAGAGCCAGTTAGGGGCTACTGTGAGGTCATTTGGGCTTCAGGTTGTTAAATACATTGAAACCAAATTATGACATTCTTTTTGGCGGTCTCATTAGGGTGACCCATGTTGCATGGCCTCTGAGAGCTGGTCAGGATCCCACTGCAGCTTGATGGGTAAAAGTCACTTAGAGGAAAGAGGTGGCAGAATAAATTTCCAGCAGCAGCCCTGCCAAGGCCAGAGCAAAGTTAAAATTAGAGAGATTCTCACCAGCTTAGAAATCTGGTTCTAAGTTTGGTGTGTGGGGTGCCTGGAAGTGCACCTTTGTTGGAAGGAAAAAATGGGGCATCTCTCGCTTTCTCTCGCCTCCAAATGAATGAGACTTCAATTTATTTACAGGGTATCCACGTGCTGCCTGGTGTCTATTCAGATTCCCCAGGCTGTACCTAGGCGGGGGGGAAAAATGAATCATGCTCTTGAATGCATTAAATGAGGGTCTAAATTTAGTCCTTCTTTCTGCCTCTCTGAGTATTTTTACAAGTTTAGATAGTACTGTGAAAGCAAAATGTCCAAAACTTACTTTCTACCATGACAACTTAATATTATCTAGCCATTTCCATTTACTCCAAATTAACTACCCAATCTTCTTCATGCATGGGCCAATTTTTGTGTCTTACTGCTTAGGGCTTTTCATCTGAAATTAATAGGCAGTATGGAGTAGTAGGGTGTTTTTTGTTTTGCCTTGTTTTGTTTTTATTTGATTGATTGATTGAGTAGAAACCTTTGCTAGATCTTTCAAAAGTCCTTACTCTTTGGGATGCATGTTATCCCCATGATGCTGACTGGAAACAAAGATCGTGCATGTGCATATGGAGCTACCACACTCTCCTGAATTACTTTTATGCCACAGATTAATTGTTCCTCACTTCAGGTGTGGAAATTAGGACAGCTCACGGAGCCGGTCTTTAAAATATGCCTGCCGATGGGGAAACCAACAACAGTGTGAATGGAGATGATGGCAATTGTTATGCATCTCCATCGTTAGACTCCAGTTCTCAAAACTCAGCTCTGTGCATCTGTTTAGTATTCCAGGCTGACCTTCTCTAATGGATTCAGAGCACACAAATGCCTAACAGCTATAGTGCAGGGAGTGTTGCCTGACCAAAGAAAGTATTCTGGAAAAGAAAAACTTGAGCCACTGCCAACTTTGGAGGAAGTGGGGAATTGTTTGGTTGCGTTTTAATTTTGCAAATTGCTAAGGAAGCAAGCCAACATCAGCCATTACCGCCCCTATTTTCTGTTCCTGAAAGTCAACTCACATTATAGGGAGTACTCCACCTGACTTGTTTACTAGTGCAAACTAAGGCTTAATAGATTTCCGAACAGCAGAGCTATTTGCAACAGGCCTGTGAGATGATTCAGTATATTGTTGTGGTCCACATTTGTTCCACTGTCATGATAGTCACTGAGCATTTGCTCATAGGTCGGGCTCTGTATTAGATTAATTCATTCTTCATTTGATGGATGTTTATTTTGTTCTTTCTATGAACTGGAAAGTGAGGTACAGAGATACACATGGCAGAAATACTTTCTTCAAGGTGTG